TTTAAAGCGCATATCCCGCTCAACGGAGCTTGGCATAACTTTTCCGGAAGAGACAATGAAAGCGACGGCGCTGTAGAACAATATTCCGTTCACCATTCTGTTCTAACTGGCTTCGATTTCCTTCACTGCGACGCCAAATGTGTCACTTTGGGCGGTCGCGGCGAGCTACGCGGAGCAGCGCGCAGCAAGGCGCCCGGGCCGCTCGCAGAGCGCCGTGGCGCACCGCTTCCGTCCCCGTAGGACCTAAACCGTACGTCGTAGCCTGAAATGCATAATGACCATACTTGTGCGCAATGGAACGATCTACACGAGTTGTAAACGGGTACTTTTAGAATCGCTGCCTCATTTCGCCACAAAATACGAAAAACCAAAATTGCAGCTTAAGGGGAGACTATACTGAAAAAATGGCCGTTTTTGGTCAAAAATGTGAAATTGGATTTTTACGAAAATACCTTGTTAAGACCTTTGTCTAGCCGGTACAGCCATTGTTCCTTCTCACAAAATATATTAAGAATCTTTAAAAGCCGACGGAAGGAACGCAGCGTCGCGTAGACCCACGCAAAGTGTACGTTTTCTCGTGTTTTTTCAAATTTTTAGTTTTAACGTTAAAAAAGCTCCTTGCGTCATAAATTTTTATCTACGTGGCTAAAATTTTTACCAGATGTTCCTTACGCTGTTCCCCACAGGGTCTCTAAGCCGGATTTTTGAATTTTGGTCAGAATTTTTTAATGTCACTTTTTTTCTGACATCAAAAATACGACGCAAGGAAACTTTTTAGTGAACATATATTTTTAACTTTACCTTTGAATATCTCCTAAACCGTTTGGCCGAAAATTTTCATACTTCGGCTGAAATAGTTTTGAGTAATATTCTATCAAAGGAAAACAAGAGAAAATTTCTGCACTGGTAATCCTGGAAAAACCCATTTTCAATATAGTCTCCCCTTAACCCAAATCCCGTTTTTGACAGTGTGTGCCTTCTAGCGTGGATAGTTTTAGTCTTACGACGAAACACGTCTTTATATTAGTTCAAGAGCGTTCAATGCTGCATTGAACGAAGGTGTTTGAGGGGAGGTGTACGCTTGAAGGGGAAGTGGCAAGAAATTGTCTGATTTAAGATATTGTGTCGAAGAGACGAAACAAATGGTGTTTGAACGAAGAAAATCGGCCGGGCGGTTCGGGCTTGCCTTTTTATCGCCAGTCAGTCAGTCAGTCAGTTATCTTCAGGTTTTGGGGTATTTTTGATTGTTGCATGCTCTGCGTCCGTCCGTCCGTTTGTTCGTCCGAGGACCTCCCGTGGTCCGATCTTGACCAAATTTGGTATGCAGCCTCTTTGGGTGACCCTTAGAACCGCCCGGTAGCAGCAAATCCGATCCGAGCCCCGGGGGCGCTGCTGCAGGTGCATCATGGTCTACATGGGGTCGTGGAGGATCTCGGCAACGGATGCAGCTAGGAAGGCATGAAGGGGTATTTTTGGAATCGGGGTGACGAGCAAAAACCAATTGTACCAGTTCTGAGCGATTTGGAGAAGTTCGGACCCGGGTTCAAATCCCAGCAGGGTATTTTTTGAAAATCCTTTTTATACGAGTTTTTGCATTGTTTCTGATGTTTTTGTAGGTGCTGTTGACGAAAACGACATTTATTTTCACCCCGGACTCAGGTTTAATTCCCGTCAGATTTAAACATAAGCGAAATTCGTACGTTTCTTAATGTACGGGAAAGGCCAAAGTTTCCGATGTATATCGCTTTTTTTCCTGTAATCTCGATGTGTCAATAATTTTTTGATAGCTTTGGCACCCCGAGGGTATCATTTTTCACCAATGAACTATTGGGCGTAAACGTGTAGGTACGGAAAAAATTTGTGCTTTGTAATGGGCGTTCGCATTTGCGCGATAGGCACCCACTGCCACTGAGGGTCGCACGAGGGGGAAATCACTCTTAAAAACTGTGACCCGACTAATCCCTATTACGTTCTATTACGCTATTACAGAAGGCTTATTACGCTCGAAAATATCCAGATTTAGGCTAAAACCGGACTCTAACGAGGGAAAATTTGAAAAAATTTGGCTATTTCGCTATTACTATTACGCGTAATACTAGGAATCGGTGACCCGACTATTACGCGAGTGATTTCCCCCTCGGGGTCGCAGGACCTCCCGAGAGGGTGTCGCGGGTCTAGCGGGGAAGCTTCGAGACTCGCGGACGTGCTGCGGACCTTGCACTTGTCTTTTAGAGGGGTCGCCGAAAGTCGCAAGTGGCTGTCCTGATGGCCTGCGTAACAGTGAACCTCGCTGTTGTGTTCGCGAGAGTGGCGGGACTTCACGGGTACTTCTGCGCCTCAGTGACACTTCCGCGAGTACAAGGAGTTCCTTGACAGCCACTCGTGAGGTCCCGCCACCCCCAGTGGCAGCAGGTGCCTTCCTCGAAGGCGCAAAGGTAAATTACAAAAGACTTATTATTTAAAAAGCTAGACGTTTGCGCCCACTAGTTTATTAATGAAAAAAGATCCTCTGAGGGTGCCCTAGCTATCAACAAATTTTTTACAAATTGAGAAAACACACCCTGTATAAGACCTAAAAAACGGCATTTTTGTAAATTTTGATAAACTTTTTATGCCCGTTTAAAACATAAAACACAGCTTTCATCTCGTCAAAAGTTATCCGATTAAAATGATACATAGCTTGTTGGAAAGATAATGAAATTCCGTATCTTTTGAGAACCCACTTATTTTGATACCTAATCAAGTTCGTCTGGAATCACTTAAAACTTGCCATTTTTAGGCTGAAGACCTAACTTGCGGCCCTCCACCATGCCTCTTCCGGTCCATTCCCGATTAAATGCGACTCAGTTATGATCTTGTATTCTCACTATTCAATTTTGCCAAAAAAAAGAAGGGGGGGGGGTCCACATTTTTTAAAAGTTCCAAAAATTGAGGAGCGCCGTCCAGATTCTGAAAGAAGGTGGAAAATCATGAATTTTGGTACAAATGTGATAAGATTTGGACCATTCTTAGGGGTCCATCAAAGCGCTTGAACTCTAAAGAAAAATTGAAAATGTACTGGTTTAGTAAAATCGATGCTGTTTCGAGAGTCTGTGTCCGATTATCGATTGCAAAACGGCCATCCTTTTGGAAAAGTGCGCTCTATTTGATGATGTACATTATGACGATACGACGCATTGCCTAGTTTCCAGGGGCGTAAAATCCCGTTTTTAGCCCCTAAATACGCCATGTTCCTGTGTTTCGAATGTGTTTGAGTCGTCCGATCGGAGTTCTAGGGTCACCATTCGACGCGCCTGATCACGACATTTGGAAAAATGTCTCGGGCGTCACAATCGATTGGTTTGCCTACTGTACAGGGGCAAAAAAAACACTGAAATTCGCTTAAAAAGTGAACTTTTGTGATAAGGAGTATCTTGTTTGACATCGGGTCGGATTTCTTGTGGTGCCATTTGACGCGCCTGGTCAAAAACTTTCGAGTACCGTTTCGGGCGTCTGAGCCCAGTGAGTTGCCTATCCTACAGACCAATTTTTCGACAATCGACCATTTGCTTGTAGGGTCGGTAACCCACCGGATTCATACGCTTGAGACGGTAATAGAAAGTTTTTGACCAGGCGCGTCAAATGGCACCACAAGAAATCTGACTCAATGCCAAATAGGATACTCTGTATCACAAAAGTGCACTTTTTCAGCGAATTTCAGTGGTTTTTTTGTCCCAGTACAGTAGGCAAACCAACCGATTTTGACGCTCTAGACATTTTTTGGAAGGTCTTGATCAGGCGCGGCGAAAAAAGACCCTTAAAATCCGATCGGACGACTCAAACACATTCGAAACACAGGAACATGGCGTATTTTGGGGTTAAAAACGGGATTTTACACCCCTGAAAACTAGGCAATGCGTCGTATCGTCATAGTTTGTACATCATCAAATAGAGCGCACTTTTCCAAAAGGATGGCCGTTTTGCAATCGATAATCGGACACAGACTCTCGAAACAGCATCGATTTCACTAAACCAGTACATTTTCAATTTTTCTTTAGAGTTCAAGCGCTTTGATGGACCCCTACGAATGGTCCAAATCTTATCACATTTGTACCAAAATTCATGATTTTCCACCTTCTTTCAGAATCTGGACGGCGCTCCTCAATTTTTGGAACTTTTAAAAAATGTGGACCACCCTAGGGGGGGGGGGGCAGAAAAAAGGATCCACCTAAAGTTCCATCGTGGTGTAAGAAAATTAAAAGTTTTCATTAAAATCTTCAGCTTTCATCGCCAATCTAATCGGCTTTGCAGAGGCAAGTACCTAGAGAATGCAAGAGCCAAGTCTTAAAAATGTGTTATGTGTGGTTAGGACTTCACTTCCCTCGGTTGGCATGGACGAGAGCCTGATTTTCTTACTTATTCACGACCCGTCGCTACATGCGAGAACAAGCCGAGATTTAAAATTGCTAAGGCAGTAATTATCATGCAGAGGTCAATCTTACGTGAGTCTTGGGTCTCAAGTAGACCTTTTAGTTTCCGTCTATTTTACAACGGTTCGGAAATTTTTCCCTGGCTTGGGGAGCTCTTTTAAATGCTTGACTAGAAAGAGCGACTCTAGCGCCTCCTTGTGGAGGGAGCTCACAAAATCCACTCTTGGAATTAAAAAATCCATTGTGGATTTGGTCTTCCAAAAACTACGTTGGTAATTCACCAGTCCACAGTGGGTTATTATTTCCACTTTGGATTTGTCAATTCCATGTGGAAACTGAATTTCCATCTCGAATCATAATTTCCAGACTTAAGCCTGGAGTTGAATTTCTTATTTACATCTGGATATTTGAAAATCCATATGGATACAAATATTTCAGATGAAAACAGGGAAATCCAGAGTCAAATCCAGATGGAATTTTAAGCTAGGATTTTTTCGTTACTATGAATTTCAAGAGTGTCAATGAATGTTCGGATCGTCCGAAGAATGCCTGTTTTGTTGTAAGACTACTAACTTATCATTTCAATTTTAGGCGCCCAATGCAACCTTTCCGATGGCCAAGGACGAGGCATATGCAAGACGTTCAATCAGTGTAGCTGGGCAGAGGAACAGGTTAAGGTTGGAGGATCTCCGTCAGTGTGTTTCTTCACGAAAAACGATCAGCCAGTTGTCTGTTGTCCAGATAACACATCTGGATATGCCACAACAACAACTTCCACTGATGTTCTTGTGTCCTCGGCCGAAAGGATAACCATCCCCCCTTCGTCCATTGCTCAAGGAGGTGTCGTCAGTGAAAGTAAGTTTCAAGGAGTTTTGTGCAAAAACGTCCGTTTAGTGCTATCTAGCTCCTGCAGTTTCACTTCATTTAAGGGGGCACACCAGTGAAAATGCAGAGGTTTCGAAAAACGATCATTTTGAGAAAAGTAAGGAATGTATTCGATTGATATTTTATTCTCGGCTCAAGATTATGTCAAAGAAAAGGAAAATCAGTGTGGGAGGTTGAGGTGGCGATGGCAAGATGGAGCGCCAGTGCACTTCATTTTTCGGCGACCTTGCTTCAGTCCTGCCACGATTCCGCCCCTCTGGATTCAGCCTTGAGCATGGGATTTGAAAATTTCTCAACAGGACACATGTGGCTATGGTCTGAACCACGGGCATGCAAAAAGAATGATTTTGAATGTGTTTTTTCAAAAGGCAAAATTAGAAACAAATTTTTCAACCTATTTTTTTACGCTTTCATGGCTGCAGCTCACGTCCTATTTGTGGGATGGCCATTTCCGAGGTTCAGACCATAGACGCAAGTTTGACGAACATTTTGCCGCAAACCGCATTCAATTATCTTAATTTTTGCGCCCCGTGAGAGTGGCACAAAGGTACAAAAAAGGTGTTTTGAGAAAAAGCTTTTTATGTGGAAACATAGGTTTGACGTGTTTTTTCGGATTATAAATGCGTCCTATGACGTATTTTAGTTCAGTTTGCGCCAAAATGTTCCTCTTTTCAACTGCGTTTGGGTGGTTCAAGGGGTTTGCAGTTGAAGTTCAAGTGAAAAACCTGAACGTCAACAATTGGTCAAAAATATGCAAAAATAATAACCTTTTTAGCAACCTAAAAAATGTGCACAAGCCAAAGTAAGGGGAATTTAGGGGTTGGTTAGCGGCATTTAACTCGGGATGAATAGCAGAAAAATAAGATAAAATAAAAAAGAAGGCAAAAATTTGACGGTTTTCACTGGTGTGCCCCCTTAACACCCCATCAAATCTTCACAAGGTCACCAGCCAGCCTTTTTTCTGCACACAGCAAAACCGATGTCTAGAGATTTCCGGATATATTTTCACATTTCCAGATATAATCTACAAATGGCCGTTTTTTTTCCACACATTGTCTAGAAATGTCAGCTTTTTCCAGATTATATCTGGAAAAAGTCCAATCTCAGATATACGGGGTGAGTTTCCTCGAGGTGTCAATGATTTGTAGATTGCTTAGGCAGCCAAAGAGGATTATTTTTCACCAATAATAGTCCAGGCAAACATTATATTCGTGGTGGACAAAATTGCTAACAAGCTGCAATTTTTGGATTCGAAAGAGTTCAAATTGTAGAATATCGTACCAAAAATCCCAAAACTTTTATTGACAACATTGGCCGCAATCAGCGTTCAATGTTCAAAATTTACACTTTTCGAAGGGTGGCTTTAACTTTTTACTCATTTGTCAGATTTCACAGCGGTTTCGCTCTTTCAATGCAGCATTCAACGCTCTTGAACTAATATAAAGACGTGTTTCGTCGTAAGACTAAAACTATCCACGCTAGAAGGCACAAACTGTCACAAACGGAATTCGGGTCGAGCTGCAATTTTGGTATTTCGTATTTTGTGGCGAAATGAGGCAGCGATTCTAAAAGTACCCGTTTACAACTCGTGTAGATCGTTCCATTGCGCACAAGTAAGGTCATAATGCATTTCAGGCTACGACGTACGGTTTAGGTCCTACGGGGACGGAAGCGGTGCGCCACGGCGCTCTGCGAGCGGCCCGGGCGCCTTGCTGCGCGCTGCTCCGCGTAGCTCGCCGCGACCGCCCAAAGTGACACATTTGGCGTCGCAGTGAAGGAAATCGAAGCCAGTTAGAACAGAATGGTGAACGGAATATTGTTCTACAGCGCCGTCGCTTTCATTGTCTTTTCCGGAAAAGTTATGCCAAGCTCCGTTGAGCGGGATATGCGCCTCAAAGTCGGTGCAATAGCGCGTTTGTGTCACTTTGGGCGAATTCGTCATATTTTCGGCGGACTTCGCAGTGAACTTGCAAGTCATCTGTTCGAGCTAAAGTTACGCTCGAAGTATTTTTAGAAAGGTGAGATGACAGAGAATACTACAGCGAAGGTAAACGAGCATTTGCTAACTTTTATTCCGTGCACCACTTCGGCAAAAACGCTAGTTTTAGCAATTTTATCATGTGTTTGACTCATTTCTTCCATCTTTGGGGTACTTTTCTCGACAAACTTAGGTAGTTGTGACTAATTTCGAGAGTCATTTTTATAATATGACGGACGTCAGTGTCCCGGTTTTATTTCTTCTGGGACTACGTTGTTATATCAGCAATGCGAGGTGCGATGTGTGAGTTTTGACAATTATTGGCTGAGCGATAGCGAAGCCTGTTACTCCAGTGGGGTTGAAAAGTTTTGTCTGTCTGTCTGTCTGTCTGTCTGTCTGTCTGTCCGCACTACTCCTCCTGAACGGCTCGGCCGATCTGAATGAGATTTTGCACACTTTTTGGGTATGTCCTTGGCCCGGCACACGCGAAATTTCACTATCCTAGCTCAACTAGTTCAGTTTTTATAGCCGAAAAACACATAAAAAACGGCGAAAAATCGAGTTTTCTGCAGGCAGGTCACTTCTGTCTTGAAGAAAGGGGGGTCTGGGGGGCGGAGCCCCCCAGCCTCGACAAGTTAAAAAGTAACAAGGGTCAAGATCGTGTTATCTGTAGATGGAGCAACTCTATCTAGGATGAAGGGGGGTATGGGAGGCGGAGCCCCCCGGCATTCAAGAATAAGAAGTAACCGACGAAGGACAAGCCAATGCCTGCCGAAGGCAGGCTGGCGCCGCAGGCCAAGGTAGGTACGCCAGGCGCGGATTGGAGGAACAGGCCGCGAGACATCGCGAAGCCTGTTACGACAAGACGCGGTCTGGCGTAAACCTACCTTGTTTAAGGATAACGACAATTTTCTTTAACTTTAAAGAAGCATTCGAGACAAACTAAGACGACTGTCGTAATTCACAATAAATATTTGGAAAGAGAAACTGAAGTGAAATGGCCTCCTGTTGACCATTTAGGTTATATTTCGTCTGTTTCCTTGCACCTCTTCGCGAAAAATATCAAATTTCTTAGTAAATAGCTAAAACTAGCACGTTTGCCAAAGTCGTGCACGGAATAAAAGTTAGCAAATGCTCGTTTACCCTCGCCGTGGTATTCTCTGTCATCCCACTTTTTAAAAAATACTTCGAGCGTTACTTTAGCTCGAACAGATGACTTGCAAGTTCGCTGCGAAGTCCGCCGAAAATGTGACGAATTCGCCCAAAGTGACACAACCGCGCTATTGCACCGGCTTTAAATCGCATATCCCGCTCAATGGAGCTTGGCATAACTTTTCCGGAAAAGACAATGAAAGCGACGGCGCTGTAGAACAATATTCCGTTCACCATTCTGTTCTAACTGGCTTCGATTTCCTTCACTGCGACGCCAAATGTGTCACTTTGGGCGGTCGCGGCGAGCTACGCGGAGCAGCGCGCAGCAAGGCGCCCGGGCCGCTCGCAGAGCGCCGTGGCGCACCGCTTCCGTCCCCGTAGGACCTAAACCGTACGTCGTAGCCTGAAATGCATAATGACCTTACTTGTGCGCAATGGAACGATCTACACGAGTTGTAAACGGGTACTTTTAGAATCGCTGCCTCATTTCGCCACAAAATACGAAAAACCAAAATTCTAGCTTGACCCAAATCCCGTTTGAAATATTCAAAACTTCTTTTTGAATTAGGTTCTTAGCGTGGTAAGGTTGGCAGCACGTATCAATTTTTCATACTTGCGGCCGCGGCTCTCAATATGGGACTGGCAGAACATTGGCAAATAAAACAGTAACAGGAAAAGTAGCGATTTACATCGGCAACTTTGGCCCGTCCCATACAGTACAGTAATATACGTACGAATTTCGCCTATGTTTGACACTGACGGGAATTAAACCTGAGTCTGGGGTTAAAATATATGTCCTTTTCGTCATCAGCACCCTTAAAAACGTCAGATACAATGCAAAAACTCGAATAAAAAGAATGTTCAAAAAATACCCCGCTGGCATTTGAACCCGGGTCTGAACTTCTCCGATACTCTCGAAACTGGCACCATTGGTTTTTTCTTGTCGCCCCGATTCCAAAAATGCCCATACATGCCCTGCTAGCTGTATCCGTTGCCGAGATCTTCTTCGTCCCCATGTAGACCATGATGCACCTGCAGCAGCGCCCCTGGGGCTCGGATCGGATTTGCTGCCACCGGGCGGTTCTAAGGGTCACCCAAGGAGGCTGCATACCAAATTTGGTCAAGATCGGACCACGGGAAGTCCTCGGACGGACTGACGAACGGACGGACGGCAAACAGCAGGGATCATACTAAAAGCCCGCCCCTCCGTCATTTTTTACAAAAAATGAACGGGACAGGCCAAAAAAGAGTGCAGCAAGGCTTAGAAGTGAGTTCGGTCATAGATTTTCGCCTCGCTCTGCTCGCTGGGGGCTCCGCCCCACAGTGGGCCACGAAGCCGGTTTAGGCGGACATAATTCTCCCAGGCCTTACGAATCGTTATTTTGGCGTGTAACTTGGTAGTCGGGGGTTTTGAGGGGCGGGGAATCCATTTTAGACAATATATGACCCTCCAGTGTGAAATTTGACAATATCTAATAGAAAGGGACCTGTTACGCCAAGACATGGTCTGACACCTTTTCTACGTTTTCATGAATTAAACGACGCAAAAACCAAAACAAGCATACTCGCGTTGAAGACAAACTCTGACATGCACAACTCTCATCATTTCAAGCAACAACTATGCAGTAGTGCCTCCGTTGCGCGGGGCAGCGTTGCGCTGCGCGGGACCGTTTTTCGCCTTTTCGGCGATGTTTGGGAGACCCTACAACTCACAGCTGCAGGTAGCTGCAGCTAAATTCTTTTGAGTCTTGTTTCTTGGCATGTTGGCTTCCGCAAGGCCTGAAGAAGACCGTTTAACCACGTTAAACAAAAAAGTGCCGCCTCGGCAAAGATTTAATTTTGACAATTTTGTCAAAGTGTATTAAAAATGAAGCTAGACACCTCAAAAATCGTCCAAAATCAAATAAATATGTATGTAAAGTTTCGTAAAGAAACGCCCTTTTACGTGGTATCAATAAAAAGTATGCTGGACAAAAATTTATAGGTGTTTTGTGCGTTTGAAATCATGCATTTTTACTGCACCAAAGTAGCGCAAATCGTGTGGTGCGTGTTTGACCACCTATATGTTGGCTAAAACGTGTTACAATGTTGAAATTCTGTCAGATCCTGGTTCCTCGGAGTATTGGGAAGAGACGTCACAAAAAAAAGCTTAAAGATTTGAAAGTTGAAAAAATGGAATTGTGTCCGTCTAAACTGGCTTCGTGGCCCACTGTGCGCCCCCAGACCCCTGCATGTGTGGGGCGCGTGCCGCAGTATTTTCAGTAAGTCCGTGGTGACCAAAGGCCAATTTCCTAAGGAAGTAACTGTACTACCTTTTTGAAAGGTCTATTTAACAGGTTTTGACCATAAAATTAAGCTTCTTTTACTGCCCAAATAGATAGCTTGTATTGCATTGGCTACTGTGGCAGTCAATGGGTGCATACAAGGTCCGGAAAATATTGAAGACTGCTTTGAAAAGGATAGAGGTGAATGGAAAAAAACCGGAGGTCTCTACGACCACCCCTTGACCCTAAACATTTCTACGAGTGAGTGAGTCAGTCAGTCGGATTGGGGCTATATTGGTACTTGATTGATGATTTTGAGGACGTTGCCGGTGACGGGGCCTGATTGCGGCATAGTTTCGGAAATGGCTCGAATTGACCTATCGATAGGGCGAATAAAAATTATCAGTCAGTCGGTCCCCTTTTTCGAAGATTGAGTGAAGTTTGTTGAATTTTGGCCTGTTTAATCGTTTTGAGGATGTTGCTGGTGACGGGGACCCGATTGCGGAACAGTTTCGGAAATGTCTCGACCAGACCGCCGATGGGGCGAATAAAAATTTTCAGTCGGTCGGTCCCCTTTTTGGAAGATTGAGTGGATTTTGTTGAATTTAGGCCTATTTAATCGTTTTGAGGATGTTGCCGGTGACGAGGACCCGATTGCGGCACAGTTTCGGAAATGTCTTGACCAGACCTACCGATAGGGCGAACGAAAATTTTCAGTCGGTCGGTCCCCTTTTTTGAAGATTGAGTGGATTTT